AAGATGGCAATGATAAGCTGAAGTTGCTGGTGTTGCTCTGCGGCGAAGATGACGACAAACTTCAGATAGCTGCAGCTGGAGCTCTGGCCATGATCACAGCTGCTCAGAAAAAGCTGTGCACCAAAATGACTCTGGTGGTATGTGCAACAGTTTACTACAACCCACCCCCTTCTCTGATTTTTCTTTTTGTATAGAGATATCACATAAATGAGGTAATTTTGAAAACTTTAAGAGGTACTCCTACAGTTACATTGTAGGTTTTTGGACAATAACACAGTTTTGCCTCTGTTACCGCTAAAGTGTATATACAAATATCTGTAATTTCTAAACAGTTCATGCAACACTTTTGTTAAGTCCCTGTGAACTAAAACTAAAAGTCTGCACTACAGTCACACCTTCACAGACTTACAGAGTCAGGTGTATATTAGCCAATGATGTTTATGTTTAAAAAAAACACAGTGTCACTGACAGAGTACCTTATCTGTACCAACAGACTTCCCAGTGGCTTGAGATCCTGCAGAGGTTATGCCTTCACAGCAATGTTCAGGTTCAACACCGCGGTCTTGTCATTGTTTACAACATGCTCAACTCAGACAACAGTGACCTGGCTAAGAAACTGATAGAGAGCGAGTTACTGGAAATCCTTTCAGTGGTTGGCAGAGCTGAGGACAATCCGAAGAGGCAGGAGGCCATTGATGCAGCACGCACATGTTTGGTCAAAGCTATGGATCTTGGTCTCATCAAACCCTTCGCCAGCCCTTCTTAAAGAAAAAGATCAAAGATCAAAGGACATTCTTCATTTTTCCCCTCTGTTAATCAGAGACCCCCCCCAAATAACTGTTTTTTCGCATAAGTGATTTTAGGAGTCATCACCCTGACTCCCCATCTCTAAATATAACCCCTCACACTGTGAAGCAGGGATTATTTTTATATACAGAAAGGGGTTGCGTGATATAGGAATCAGATATGGGGTGGGGGTTTCCAGCGATTGGTTCTGATAAAGCTGTAACTGTGTCTAAATGTTTAAAGACAGATGCATTTACATGTGTTTATATTTTGCCATTTGTGTGGTTGATGAGCCATAATACACCATTTAAATAACACCTAAATGCTTCAGTGTCTCTTTTTCTTTTCTAAACTCAGTGCAAATAAGCAGCACAGACTGAAAACATTAAATCAAAAATCTTTACAGATCTTTTTTACAAACACCATCTTGTATTTACATTAATAAATCTTTTTTGAATTATAATTTGAAGTAAGACTATCATTCCTCCTGAATAACTATACATAAATAGACAAGAATCAAACATTTATATTTAGCAAATACAAATTATTAGTTTTTTGGGTGTTTTTTTGCTCTTGGGTTTTCAATTAAAAATTCAAAATGAATAACTATGAAATGCAGTAGAATGTGTAACTTTGACACTCTGATTCATTGTTTTTACACATAAACTACCACATGTTTACAGGTAATTAGTATATTTCCTTTAACAGGTTATTAATATGTAATTACATAGAAACAGGTTTTGCATTTTGCAGTCACGATTCCTGCATATAATAAGCCATAACAATAAACATTATTGCCATTATTTACCATTATTGTTTCCTGCAAACAAAGAAGAATACTGAGGACATGAGACAGAATTAATTCCAGGATTACAAAAGTATATCTCAGCATGTCAAAGCATTAGGCAGTATTACCTTACTCTTTTTTTAGCTTAAAAATTCTAATCACTTCATGTCATTTTATTTCTAAGAGGTAATACTGTTACCAATACATTGATATACAGTTATTAATATACAGAGCTTGACAGTCATCAAAGAAATGAGTGCCAGCTGCTGGTCAATGTTTACCACAGCTGCAGACGTGCAGCAGTCCATGTGCTATTGCAGTTTATTCTTACAGTGTGCACTTTCACCCTGAAGACTACACAATATGACTTGCTCTTCCTAACTTGTGTTTCCTTTTCATTTTAAAGTATTTTATTTTAGCGTAACAATCACTCCCCTTTCACTATTTTTGTCATTATGCTTGATTTATTTCAAACTTTAAATGTCCACTAGACTTCATTAATCCACAGTGAAGATGAAACATAACAAAGTGCAGGAACCTCTATCATCTTCTTTGTGGCATGCTCTGAATACACAGACAAGCATATCTTTGACTAGATGTGTAAAACTAAATGTTTTTTTTAAAAAAGTCAGTACCATGAAGGCTACAGCAGTAATAAGCACTATATGCATATGTAATATATGAATTTTACTATACGTTCTTGTTTTTGAAAGAGATCTTTTTATTTCAGACCGTCCCTTTGTAACCATGGAGAGAAGAAAGGAAGAGCAACGGTCTGGCAGTCCATCATCACTCTCAGCATCTGCATGATTTAATATTTACAACATCACAGATCTGTGATTATTTCTCTCTGCTCACATGATGTTCCTAAAAACTCTTTAATGAGTGACAAATTTGTTGGTCAGTTCATTCAACTTATTTTACTCGTTCCTAAAATTCTCTGGAACTTGGAGTCATTTTTGACCAACATATGTATTTCAACATGAACATTAAACAAATATGTGGAACCGTCTGTATTGGCTCCAGAATCAAATTTAAAATCCCTCTCATAACATACAGGTCTTAAATAATCAGCCCTTTCATACCTTAAAGACCTCATAGTACGTCATTATCCTTACAGAGCACTTCAGTCTCAGACTGCTGGCTTACTTGTGGTTTGTAGTTTTCAAAAGTAGAATGGGAGGCAGAGCCTTGTGCAACATTTTGTGCCAGTAAAAATATATTTAATTCAAGAAAATATCTAATAATTATAATATTACTCATTAATACTTGCCATACAAAAAACCAACATTTGGTGGTACTTTTATTCATCTATCTCCCGTTCAGTCATGTCAGGTATGTTTATATATAGTGCCAAATAACAACAACAGTCACGTCATGTTCTTCGTACTTTAGAAAACCCCAACAAGCATTTTTCAACGGTGGGAAGGGAAACTCCCACTTACAGGAAGAAACAGCTTCATGTAGGCAGACAGCTGCCACAACCGGGCAGGGTGGGGGAAGAGAACAGAAAAGCTGAGCTAAAAGATACGCTCCAGTGGCATCTGATCAAGTGGGTTGTGAAAAAAATGGGACTGGGGGATAAATGCTCAGTGTGTCACAGTTAAAATTTGTTAGAGTACTGATTAAGTGGAGTGGTGCATTTCCATCAATTAAAACAATATTAAATAGACTTCTCCCAAATATAACCGTAGAATACTTTTAAAAAAGAGCATTTCAGAGAACTAAATGAAAAATGTTAAATTAAAATATTTTTAAATGCATTTTTTTGTGCACAAGATGCAAATCTGGCAAATTAAAGTGTCAAAGGAAAGGCCTTTTTTGTTCTTGCATGTTAGTTTGTGATGGTTGCAGACTTCTTTCACATTCATAACTGAATGAGTCATGCAGCGTTTCCGGATGGGCCTAAGCCACACTTAAATGAAGGGTTAAACAGTGAGTTTCTTCAGACCGTCATCAAACCGTGTAAGAGAGAGGTTTCCAGCTCAGATCCTGAAGCGTTGGTGTTGAACATGAATAATAAGTCTCTGATTCATTACTTAAAGTTAAAAGTGTTCATACTCAGAAAGGCTCGAATTTAGTTTCTATTTTTCTCTTCATAGACCTGCTACTGTTTACTTTTGGACTGTTTGCTCTCGCAGCAGGTGATTCATTCATTCAGCTATACTAATCTCAAGATTTTTTTTAAAAGTAGCTCATGTGAGATGTTTTATGGTGTTACAGGTGGAAACGGCATGCAGGTGTTTTATTGCGAGCCTGAAAAATGTGCTCTCAGTGTAATTAGGGTGTATTGCAACGATGAAGCCCTGCTCAATGACAGATCCATGACAGAGTGCTCTGGTCCTCCTCTACACAGAGCTGTCTGTCAGCATGATGGTCGAGCATTTGTTTCCATGTCTGGGAATGCTCATTGTGAATTTGAAGGGAATAGTGGATACATCACCACAAAAAATTGTTCAGGTATTTACATTTTTTAAAGTTGTTGCTTTTCTTGCAATCATTCATGCCTCTCGTTAATTTATTTTTCTTTTCTTTTTTTCCCCCATTGCACTGAAAATAACAGATTTCTTTCACTAGTGTCAGAAATTTGACCAGCTTTGGAAAAATCCACAATAGCCCACTTGTGTGCTCAGAAAGATGGCGGATGTTGAAGAATTTTAAGCTCTTATTCAGGTTTTTGTTTACTTCCATTTGTATTTAAACAATCTCATAAAATAACACATGATTCTGATCATGCTAGCTGAATGAGGAAAACAGTGAATTGAGGTGTGCCACCCTTGCTGATAATGGTCAAAGACTTCCAGTTTATTCTGTTCTATATCTTCTGCATCTTTTCTACTCTTACTAAGTCGACGTTTATTTATGGAACGCACAGACGTAAACAACAACAGTGAAACTGATGCCACTGTTGATAACTACTTTCTGTTAGAAGATATTCATTTACTGAAGATGTCCGAGAACTTATTTTCTACAATTAAAATGTTGAAACTTTGGTTGTGAAAGAAATCTCAACTCGTGATTGCAGTTGTTGTTGCTGGCAAGTTGTTGCAGTTGTTGTTGCTGGCAAGGGTTGCACAACTGATTATTAGGCTTAGAGTGAAAGTACTTCTACACACAGAGCCAGATAAGTTCTTATAGCTTTTTTCCCCACGATAAATGAAATCATTTCAGAACTGCATTTTCTTTTTTCTTTTTATTATCTGAAACATTTCAGTATGAAAAATATGGAAAACAACTAAGAAATCAGAAAGTGGGCAAAGACATTTTGACTGCACTGTATAAAATCCCTTTTTTAGAGTTATATTTATTTTGTCATATAAACCGTGAGCTGACTAATGTTGACACTTACTGCAAATAAGAATCTGAAACAATGTACATTTTCTTGACCAAAACAGTGACTTTTCTGATCTCTCTGATTTCTCAAATAGACCTCAGCAACCTGTGCTCTTTCACTGGAAGTAAGTACAGACCTTTCATCTGCTTCTCATTATTCTGACTTTTCACTAAATGGAAATTCTTCCTTTCCATTTAGCAACCAAATCCTCACCAACCCCAACAGGTTTTGGAAGTCTTGCGGAGGGCCTTACGCAAACTCATCTCATCATCATCGTAGTAGTAGTTTGTAAGTTCTGACCATTAGTTGTTTTGGCTGCATGCATCACATTTCTCATGCTAGTAAATCTTTAATTGCAAATACAGCTTTTATCTAGGAACAAATTCATGATTGTTCTTCCGCAGGTTCACAA